CCTCTAAGCGTCCATCTAACAGAAGCTTTGGCTGGTTTGTTGGAGACACAGATTGAAGTCAGAGTGTGTCTTGTGTCTGGCAGAGACGAGGGGAAAGAAAGACATGATGTGAATTTTAAAAAAGGGTTTATGTAACTCTGCTCTCTCCCAGCTTCCACACATATACCTCTTCACCTTCTCTTTCTTTGTCTTTTTTTCCCGGCTTAATCTTTTCATTGTTTGCACAGGTCTGTGTGAGTCCAGACTCAATAAGCAGTCGAGGAAACATCATGCTCTCCATTAAATTCATTCCAGAAGGATTTGAGGGTAAGCAGAAGAGGGACATCTGAGTTCTTCTCCTCAGGTTCTCATTTTTTGTAAATGTGGACTGATGTGTGTGCAGGCGGCGGGATGCCGCTGACAGGAGAGGTTCACATCTGGCTCCGGGAGGCTCAGGGTCTCCTTTCCAACAAAGGAGGGGCCGTAGACTCCTTTGTGAGAAGGTGCGTGTCAGAACATGCCTCGCAAGGCTTTGTGAACATTCACCTAATTTTTCCTAATTAGTTGAGAATCATGCAGAATCAGTCGGTGACACGTTAAGCAACTTGTCTTTATGGTTTAGATGATGGTTATTTAACCATTTTAATGTGTGCCCACTTGTCTCAGCAGTATTTTCAGGTGCATAAGACAGCAAAAGAACAGTTTCTCATCCAACATTTTTGTATAAAGATTAAGATTTCATGGGAGGTTTTGAAGGCAGAATAACTCCTATGATTTTGATCCATAAAAATACAGCTGTATTTTGGGGAAATCCTTTTTTTAATTTATGATCCACAGTCAAAATAAGTCATTTTGAACAGTCCCTCATAGTTGGTTATCACATCTTAGGTCTGATAAATTTGAAATTGTTGGGTTTCTGTAATTACTTTAGAGTAGGGTCTGACCTGCTCTGTTTGGAAAGCGCTGTGAGACAACTGTTGTGATGTGGCTCTATATAAATAAAATTTTAAATTAATTGAATTGAACCAAGGTTTTGTGCTGTTGAAATGACTCATCGATGTCGTCCTCCACTCCCCGTCCAGCTACATCCTTCCAGATGCGAGTCGGCAGAGTGGTCAGAAGACGCGTGTGGTCAAACACTCCATCAGCCCCACCTACAACCACACGATGGTCTACGACGGCTTCCACACCAGCGACCTGAAGGAGGCGTGTGCCGAGCTGACCGTGTGGCAGCGGGAGGGCCTGAAGGTGCGCATCCTGGGAGGGATTCGCCTGAGCTCTGGAACTGGTGAGAGTCCCCAACAAGCATATCGATAGCTACTGTACATATCAATCTTTGCTTCTGTGCAATTTTGCTGTCAATTCCAATTGGTATCAATATGTAAAATGCCCAAATCAAGTAAGTCCTCACTTTCTGTTACACAGTATTTTCAAGTGGGAATCTGTGTTTTGGGAATCTTCTGCTTTTTCTTTCTAAGATGAAAGTTACAGAGCCTGTAATGCCAGAAGATAAAGACAAAGGCTTCACATTTAACATATTAGATATCATTCAAGGATGCATTGCCATCGATCTGTGTTCAATAGTGAGCTCACTTTGTTATAAATCTGTAACAACGACAAGTGACAAGATTGGTCAGTTTCTGGGGGTTTTCTGTGTGTTGTGGGCATGAAGAGGGCAGCAAACCAAAGCTGTGAGAGCCACCAGTGATTGAAAATGTAATGTACTCCTGTCGTCTTACCAGCCAGTTTGATCTGCTGAGAGAGTTTAATATTTTAGCAGGTGCATGTCTTTGTTCCCTCTGAGTCAGAACATGTATGGAAATCCAATATGATGCCTTTACTTGCTAAGGTGATGATCCACAAAGGTGCTGTGTGAAAGTAGTCTTTATGTTCGCCAGAGGGAAGCACTTTCTATGGGATATGAAAGCACCAGTTACCAGTTTGAGCTTCATTTTGATCGTCTTTGTTGACACTGTCATCACCAAAGTGGAATGCCTCCTCTACATGGGTGTTCAGGTGTTGTATGTTGACTGTGTTTTAGTCCAGGATCGTTTTGTGCTCGTGGCATTTCAGACATTTCGGACGGTCTTGTCACCAGAGCGAGGTCACTGAAACAGTCATTCAGTGTCTCGGTGTTAATGTGGGGTTGTTTTCTGCCTCTGAAAAACAAACTGAAGATGCTGTTTGCGATGAACTTTTATGTGCAAAGTGTGCACAGCTGAAAGTTTCCGCATCAGACTCTTGAGATATTTCACCACATTATTAACTGTTTTCTAGTTTTATTGTGGTTGACGTTCAAAGTTAAGCCACTGGTGGAGAACCGGCGGGAATAACGACCAGTCGTGTGGGTTGTTTTTTACGGCAGGTCAGAGCTATGGCGAGGATGTCAGCTGGATGGACTCCACGGGAGAGGAAGTGGCTGTGTGGACCTCCATGATCCAAAACCCGAACCACTGGATAGACACTAGACTGCCAATCAGAACTAACCTGACACAGCGGCCTGTGTGACCTGCCCACAGTTATCCACATACGTGTTCCTGTTACGGACCGGAGGGAGGCCCTCCTCACATCAGTGTATTTACCCGCTATGTCAACATGATGAACACATGCATCAAGCATTTATTTATCTTTTATCCATAAAAAGAGGAACAAATACTGGTACAATATTTCCTCTTTAGGGCAAATTTGTCAAATATCTCATTTAGAAGTAGGCTAAGTTGTGAGTGAAATGTTTTAATTAATTTGTGTTGCATCTAACAAAAGGGCACTTAAAATCAATCGCAGTCTATCAATTAAATATAAAACGGAACAGATGAGTCTGATGTGTTCTGTTTTATCTTTCTTATCATTCATGTAATTGTATTTATTAAATTAGTAAGTGTATTGGTTGTTTTTTCTGATCACCCAGTGGTCATAACTTGTACATGCTGGGATTCTTGGACCAGCAGGACACAGTTCTGAGATTTATTTAGTTTTTACTTTTATCAAAGTGAGAGAATCGTCCCAGTTGAAATGGAAATGGAGTGTAATAAGGCTGTAGTTGTGCTCCAGCAGATGGCAACGTCAAACCTCCTTTGGGCTGCGAACAGGGCTCTATTCAAGTCTTTCTGAATAGATAATGTTTTCTAACTGGGTTTTAAGCAAACCTTTTTACTTTGGGAATATCTAGGCCGCCGTGCCTGGTTTGCCCGTTAAGTGAACACTGCTGTACGGCTTTGTTGTTACCATGGCGACGCACCGTCAACATCAGCATTCAGCGGCGTCGCGTCTCTAAAACGAGTCCTGAAAATGTCTGCTATGAATAGAAAGGTGATCCAGGCCCTCGCCGAAGCTATCTCCAAAAAGGTGGAGCACTGTGAGTACGCAGGGCGAGAAAAAAAAAAAAAAAACAACAACCGCCCGCATTTACCGAGTCTGTCGACTCAAAACTGAGCTGCTCCCAAAAACGTTGCAAGAGGCGAATTGTGAGGAATGTTTTCTGATTCCTAGTCGACAAAAAAGAGACGGAGTGCCTCATCTGGGAGTACAACGAGCTGGTGGGGGAGCAGCCCAGCCCCGGGAGGGCATCAGCCGGCCTGGACAGAGGCCGGTTCAGGGGCATCCTGCACAACCTGTTCGGGATGACGGACGACATGATCATGGACGGAGGTCTGCCAACATCCGGGTCCTTGTGATCCATCTGAGACACGGAAGCTCTTCCTCTCTGTTCAAATAGCCTTCAAATGTCACTTTTGCTCCTTTATTTTGTTTTATAATTCAACATTACTGCTTAGCTGTCATATACATTACATTTTTAAAAACTTACTACAAGTTTCAGTCAAAAAGTTTAGTTTTTAAAAATGACTTTGCCTCAAGTCCTTCAACTTTTTTCTCCACTTGTCTTTTTTAAAACTGCTTTAACTCCCTTAGCTGTTGTTCTCCCCTTCAGCTGACTTTAGTCATAAAGTCTGGCACCATGTCACTGTTTTGGTTCAATGGAAACAGGTGGAGAGAACATTTCCATGCTTTAAAACATTTGTAAAAAAAAAGGTTTTACAACTAATTGCAAGGTTTCTGAGAACTATTTATTCATTTTAAATGTCATATAACATGTGGACGAATAACGAATGGAACAGGATGCGTTTTAGGGTTTTTCTTGATCTCGCCCTCAGTCTTCAGGACGTTCGACAAAGACAACGACGGCTTCATCTCCGTGGAGGAGTGGATCGAGGGACTGTCCGTTTTTCTCCGGGGGACGTTGGACGAAAAAATAAAGTGCAAGTTTTCAGCTTTGCTTTCTGTCCATAACAATCCTCTCTCCCCGACCCTCTCTTTGCTGTGGGAGCCAATGCCTGTCCCTGTTTTCTGCCGACTCAGACTGCTTCAACGTGTACGACCTGAACGGCGACAAGTACATCGCCAGAGAGGAGATGTTCCACATGCTGAAGAACTGCCTCATCCGGCAGCCCACGGAGGAGGACCCCGACGAGGGAGTCAAAGACCTGGTCGACATCACGTTCAAGAAGATGGTGAGAGCTCTCCTGCCCAGATATTCAGATCTGCTCATTAAAATACGTGTGCCATCACATCGATCCAGAACACAGATAAGTCCAGTTTATCATTTAAATTCCCCCCCACAGGACTGCGATCATGACGGCAGAATGTCTTTTGAAGACTTTGAAACGGCTGTAAAGGAGGAGAATTTATTGCTTGAAGCCTTTGGGACGTGCCTCCCAGACTCCACGGTACTCACAGATGAACCTCTATGTGTCCATGACAGAAATACTTCTAAATACGACTAAAACCAGCATGTTTTTCTTTCTTTTCAGAGCATTGATATGTTTGAGAAGCGGGTGTTTGAGGAAAAAGTGGAACAATGAAGAAACCACAGAATTCCTTGACTCGGACATTTTGATAAAAACGGTTAGATTTGTTTATAATATGATGCAAAGGCTACAAAAATATAAACATACTGCAAAAAACACAGTTCTTTGAAAGTCATTATCTGTTGTAGTAGGTGATGTCTTGACAGGAGACTTGGATTATATCCGCCGGCGGGGTTTAATCTTTTTCTCTACAGGTTTGTGGTCTGAGGCCGATTCCACCTGGAAGAGACGACAAAACGAACGTTACAGGCACAAAAAAAATCAAACCACAGTTGAACCGAACTGAATTATTATTATTAAATAAAAGAAGAGCAGATTACCTGCTTCATTGTGTTCCGGATGAGGTTTACAGTTGTGTTCAGTGATTCGTCCTCCATGTTCAGCTTAGGCGACTCTGGCAGTTTTGGTCCGATTAAGGGTCCAGTTTCTTCAGAAATAGTCGACGAATCTTGTGGAACCTCGTCCACTTTCCGTTTCCTGTTCTGCAAGTGTGCGGTTCTCGGTACAAATCGGACCACAGAAGTCTGACTGGACGCCAGTTGGCTGTCTGTGCTTTGACCTCTGCTGGCCGTTTGGTCAGAGCTTAAACTCTCCAGCTGCTGTTGATGTGTGTGAGGCGTGGCGTTATGTAAAGTTCCCATTTTGTCTTCCGTTGGCTGGTACTGAGGCCCGTAGAGACCATGTTCTCGTGGAGGCGGTGGCAGCAGAGGGAAGCTTGAGTGGTGGGGAACACCTGAAGTCCCACCTGTACCGTCCCTGTAGGAGCTTTGAGGCTGTCCGGTGCGGGTCCGGTCCGGTGTGACCGTCTCCGACGGTGTGGGCCTCTCACAAATCCTTTCTTTGTCTCTACTTTTCCTGGCTATTTAACAATTTAACAGAAAAATAAAAGGTCAACATTAACTTTCCATGTTTTCACAGCTTACAAGACCATAGCAAACTTAAAACCGCATACAATTTCAACCTAATTTTGATATGTACAGTGGGGTAAATAAGTATTTGACCCCTTGCTGATTTTGCAGGTTTGCCCACTTACAAAGAATGCTTATTTTTCCTCAGATGGTTATCAATTTTTATAAATTCATATGATGTGATTTTTGGGGAATTTTCTTTGGGATTCTGTCTTTCACTGTTAGAATGTACATATGATTAAAGTTATACATCGTTGCATTCTTTGTAAGTGGGCAAACCTGCAAAATCAGCAAGGGGTCAAATACTTATTTCCCCCACTGTATAGAGGAAATGAAGCTCAAAATAAAAGCAACCTATGTCACAAATGTACAAAGAACAGAAAGAAGAATGTTCAAATGTATAATAGTCTAACCTTTTGGTGACTGACCAAACTGTGAAGCTTATTGATCATTCAAACAGTGCTTGATGTCAGTACTGACAGACTTTTTCATTAAAAAAAACGTTTTCCTGCGAGTGTTTTAAAAGACATGCATGTATTTTTTAATCTTGATGCTACCTCTGTTCCGGGCTACTCTGGCCACGTAGCTCCTCCGGTCCTGCAGCTTTAGTCGCGTGTCCTCCACCGTCTCGTACTCCGGGACATAGCACACGTGCAGGACCCCCCCGTAGAAGCTCTTCTCATCCAGGTTCCGCTTCGCTGCTCTGGAAGCAAACATGTTTTTGGGTCAGGACGATTCAACGGGCGCCTCCAACCCCACGCGCGCACCCACCGAAACGGGTCGCGCGCCGCACCTGGCACTGGTTAGTTTCTGAAACTTGACCAGGTAGACCTCGGTGAACTCCTCGGCGGGGTACTCGTCCAGAGGCCGGTACTCCTCCACGGCCCCGTACAGCGCGCACCGCTGGACCAGCTCCTCCATGACGCCGATGGCCGGGACGCCCTGGACCATCAGGTAACGGGACTCCAAATTGATGGTGTACACCTGAATTTACACGAGACAAACGTGGTATTAGTTATTGAATAGTATCAGTGCTGAACACCAGTCAAACCGCATCGTAGAGGCTGTTTACTGTGGTTTCTACACCGTTTTCTCCCATTGCAGTTAGCTTCTAAGACCCATTTTTCATGCTGATAATTCAGTTTTCTCACCTTAACCGCTTTAGCCCTTCTCCCTTCTCTATATTTAGGTCGAGAAATGCATATTTTCTTCTGTTCGTGATGTTTATAGACTTCTGGGGCGTCCCAACAGCTCGAGCCACTATCGACAGGTGCCGCCATGTTTGTTGAAGGGGCTTTCCGGTGCGTGTTTTTCACAATAAGGGCCATTCGACTGTTTGGCGACGCTGAATTGATTGAATGCCTACGGTCAACGTTTTAGTTTGAAAAATGAACTCTTTCTAATATCAGCTAGTTTGGTCTGAACTGCGATTGTCACAACACATCGATTCACTGGGTTCGTTGCACCTTAACGGAAAGGAGGAGCAGAAATATACTTATTTACGGAGCTAGTATGGCAACGTGAAAATAATGTTTACCTCTCAGGGCATTCAGCCCGTTTGTGTTGGCTTTAACAACACAAAAAACTGCTTTCTTCACCTCCCCTCCAAACTGATATCTCACCTTTCCTTGAACGAGGTAAGTTAGCTTAGCAAGTCTCGTGTTGGCAGCATTAGTTCAGTTTTACTTTGTATCTTTCGTAAAACAAAAACATTTCTTGTGTTTTTTGTGGTTTGCATTTGGTCTATTTCCTGAGAGTTTCTATTCTTTACATTTCAAAGTAGTCTGTCATATTAAATTAATAGAAAAGTTGTCTATAGGATCATATCAGTCTATGCATTAAAACAAATACGTCAAAGAGCTGAAAAGATTAATTCATTCAGGAAGAAAATATTGTGATTAAAATGTGAGTTTTCATTAACCTCTCTTTGTAGCTTTCCCCTTTTAGTTTAGTGTTTATTGTTGCAATGCTTAAGAAAACTAATTGGAGTAGTAAGATGTGACTTCAGAGCCAAAACATGAAGAAATGCAGACTTTTAATAGCAGACATTGTTTTCTTTTGGAAGAACCAAGCCTTGGAGCTGTCTTGGGACGATGGACCTCCCGTGTTCCTCAGCTGGACTCCAAAAAGAACCTCCTCCAGTCTGGACGACTACAACGTGGAGTTGTGTCGGCAACTCGGAGAGAAGCTTGGCCTAAAAGAAGGAGAGCAGGTGGAGCTTTAGCTTTGTGACTTGTTTACCTGTATGTCTAGCTCTTTAGGGCACATAGGAGCCAACTAAAGATATGTTTGTACAGTATTTGTCTCTCTGGGTTGAACAGCATTAGTGACTTACCGGTTGTGTTGTTTTCCTTCAGGGCTTTCTGAGAGCCTGCAACCAAGTTTCTTCATTGAATCAAGTGACGGTGGAACCCCTCTCTTCTGATGACTGGGAGATCTTGGTGGGTGATAATTGAGACTGAAAGAGATTTATATGTAATTTATTTTCATGCAAGATTACGTTATTACATATCACAATAACCCCCCAAACTTTTCTGTTCCTGTCTTCTTTTTGTCTTGTGTTAAGTTACATTTCCAATTGAAAACACTCAGGGATGGTGTTGTTTATGTGTTAACGAGGATAAAAACTTTATTCTGATTGGAAGGGTCTTAAAATATGCTCCCTCATGATGATAAAGCCAGTCGGAAGAGAAAGCTCTGCTACCTAAAACCACAGTAGTTAGTTTACTTTCCTTACTTTCCTCCTTTCCAGGAGCTTCACAGTTCTGAACTGGAGCAGCAACTACTGGATCAGATCAGAGTTGTTTTCCAAGGAGCTGTACTTCCTGTTTGGGTGGACAATCACACAGTCATCTACATCAGAGTAGGTAGGTGTTGCCACACATATTTAACTATACTTCTCAGTTCAGGTAGTCTGACAGACGGCGGTTGTCATACCTACATACACTTAAGATAAAGGAATGAATTTGATAACATTTTAAAGTATTCAGAAACACTTTGTGGCTTGTTTTTATCTCCGAGCAGCTTCGCTCTCCCCACTTGTGCCGTATGGCCGCCTGGAGCAGTTCACAGAGCTCCTCGTGTCTCCGAAGCTCCGCGCTGGAGTTGGCAACCTCCCCGATTCTTCTGACTTAAATCAAGTTGTGAATTACTCCTCCCCCTCAGCGCCATCGTCAGAGACCACTTCCTCTTTCCCTCACAGCCAGCAATGGGGTGGCATTGCTGACTTAAAAAGCCTTCTCCGCCATATGATAACGGGCTCTTATGACCCGGTTAAAGAGCCACCGCCTGTACCCGACATCCCATCCCTCTTCCCTGACTCCACCTACAGAGTCTGCAACTCACCGCCCGACTCTCCGGGCAGCATAAGCTACATCCCCTCTGGTGTGATCCACATGTTTCCATGGAGCCCTGCCCTGAACACCTCGCTAGTCGGGGGTCCGTCTCCAGTGACATACGGCCTTCTCACTAAAGTTCCATCCCCCAAAGAGATGAGAGACCGAAAAAAGCAGAGCGTGGAGAAAAAGAAGAACGGAGGAGTTGGCAAAGATGGTTCCCCGGCTAATGAAGGGAAAGATGAGGAAGGGAAGTTGGTCAGGGTAGTGTGCCATAGCGTTGAAATGCTGACAGACAGCAGGATGTGTCACAGAAACAAAGAGATCCACAGGGGAAGAGTATGGGTGAGTAACATGTGTCTCACATTTACCTTACTTCTTTTCATATCGGTTAAGAGTACAGTGGGGGAAATAAGTATTTGGCCCCCTTGCTGATTTTGCAGGATTGCCCACTTACAAAGAATCCTTATTTTTCCTCATCAGATGGTTATCAATTTTTATAAATTCATATGATGTGATTTTCTGGAATTTTCTTTGGGATTCTGTCTTTCACTGTTAGAATGTACATATGATTAAAGTTATAGATTGTTGTATTCTTTGTAAGTGGGCAAACCGGCAAAATCAGCAAGGGGTCAAATACTTATTTCCCCCACTGTATGTCTAAGTATGTTTTATTTTTTATCTTTTTACAGATCCCCGAGGCCAGTAAGTTAAATATTCAGCCACATTCAGCAGTGAGGATTAAACCTGTGAAAACAGCCGTCAAAGTGGCCTCTAATATTCGCTTACAGCCTCTGAAACCTCTGGTGAGTTCTGGGATACACACACGGTTGGCATATGTTGCTGGTTTGTCTTATCTCGTCCATTTTCCGTGCAGCCTGAGGAGAGTGATGAGGAGATCCAGGCCGCCTTCCTGGGCTGGCTCCACACGCAGAGCCATCAGCCGCTGGCCTGCCTGAGCGAGCGCTCCGGCTCCGTCCTCCTGCACGGAAACGAGGGTAATTCATTTCTGCGCTTCCTTAACTCATTGACTGCCAGCCATTTTCAGAACAGAGAGTCTCATACTGCCAGAGTTTTTTGAGCATTTTGACTGATTTTTCAAGAGCCACAGAATAGTTTGTGCTATGACTATGTAAACACCGAACACACCAAAAGAAAGAGTAGACTCTCTTCTTTCATCAGGATTAAAAAAAATTGTTTCTACCTTATTCCGTTCTTCCTCGACTTGCGTCTCACCGGCGCCATTTTTTGCATAGCGAACCATTGCGTTTTTCTTATTTGCCTACAGTCTATGCTCATCTCCCATCAAAAGTGGCACAGCTACTTAGAGGGTCAATTTGTTAGTACATACTCTGTCTGTAACCCGATATTTACGGACAATCTTCAGCGGATCGTCCCCCAAGTCACTCGCGTTGAAAAACATAAAAGACGTCTATGGACGTCTTTGGCAACGAATGAGTTAATAAGCCGAAGAAATCATCCATTATCAAAAAATAGATCTCACCAGTGCCAAGGTGACGTGAAATTTCTGTGGACTTTTTGAAAACTTCTCGCAGCAAAGTTGGAGTTTGCTGTGACGGTGTTGAAACCGGAGCTGCAGAATGACCCGGTGGACCAGCTCTTCCTCCTGACCCCCACCGTCCTCAAGAAGAGAGACATACAGGTATTGCCATGTGTTTATACTATATAACCTCCAATATAGCAATGGAAACTATTCCTCAAACTTTGCGTTCCCAAAGTCTGGACAATCCTTCCTTTTTCCTTTTTCCTTTCTTCTTGCAGCCTTTTGTAAGCTGTTGGTTGCCGTGGTGACTTTCGGGTTTCTTTCAGGTGGACAGACAACCGCTAGAAATGCCTGATGGGAACGCTGTGGCCGGAGAGCCCCAAACAGAGCTTCCCTCCCTCAGTCTTCTTGGGTGAGTTATTTAAACATTTCTGACATTATTTAGATTTTTTCAGCATTTACTTCACACTGTCCCCCCCCCACATTTCCATGTTTTCCCAGAGGGGTTGATGAGCTGAGCAGGACTGGATTTGAGTTTATCTCTCACAGCATTCTGGGTAGTCCCCTCTCCAGAGAGCTCGGTATCACTGGAAGAGGACTCCTAGGAGGAGCACTGCTCATAACTGGTGCCAAGGTATTGTATATTTTATTTTTCCTATTTTTACAGTTTTTATTAGCTAAAAAAAGGGTTCGGAATTTTAAGAAATTGATGCTAACCATGCTGGTTTTGCTAGCTTTGGCTCAGCATGAAACACAGCTGTCAAGTAACTAAATACATTTGATTTTATTAAGTTTTGTTTTGCTAAAGAATGATGTGTTTCCCTTTATCCTCACAGGGGAGTGGGAAGAGCACTTTGTCCCGAGCCCTGTGCAGGAAAGCCAGAGAGGATTTGGACGCCCATGTGGAGGCAGTGGACTGCAAAATGCTACAAGGTCACATAAGATTCCACAAGACAACAGTTCATGGACCTGAAAAAACAAAAAAAAATCTGTTCATGGGAAAATGTCTGTTGTCTCCTACAGGCAAAAAGTCAGAAACCGTGCGGCACATTCTGCGGGATGTTTTCGAGCAGGCGGAGTGGAAACAGCCCTCCGTGGTTCTGCTGGACGACCTGGACCATGTGACCCGGGCCCCTTCCTCCCCGGAGCAGGAGCACGGCCCCGAGGCGCTGCTGCGCCTGCACATCGCTCAGAGTAAAGGACCGATTCACGTCAAGTGTGAGGAGAAACTAAAACGGTTTGTTACTGATGTGTGTTTGTCTGATTGTGAGTGCAGGTGTGAAGGACGTGGTGGACGAGGTGGTGCTGGACTCCAGCCTGGTGTGCCTGGTCATCACCAGCCAGAGCGAGGACTCGCTCCACCCGGCTCTGACCGAGGTGTCCGGGTCCCACTTCATCCAGGGGACGGTCAACATCCAGCCCCCAGACCAGGTCAGCGTCCCAGAACATACACTGAGAGTAACAAAGAAGCAGGAAAAAAAACCCCAAA